CCCATCTCCTAGGAGATTCATCATCCATCACCAGGCCGGCTTCCAACGCCTTAACCACTTGTCGAACACGGCCAGCCTGACTTCGCTGATTTTGGTCGGACGAAGCTTCACGCCGTTTCAGCTCGATGGAGTAAGCGTCGTCCCCAAAGATAGTATCCTTCGAGTCAAGGGCCACGGATCGCTCATTCGCTCTGCCGCCTGGGCCATCCCCGGCGAGGCAACACCCCTCTGCTCCTTTGTCAAAACCTCCCATGTCGCATGACATGGGGCAGTGCTTTTGCCAATTTGCGGCCCTTTCTACTTTTTAAGCTCATTTCCGGACGCGCCTTCCGCTGAGCCAAAGCCGAGGGATCAAGCACCCAATTCTTCAAGGTCAGACGCTGCGCACTCGCCGGAGTGGAGGCCTGCTCCCCATCCTGATACGTCGTTTGCATGGGCTGGACCTCCACATGCACTTTATCCGCCACGCACGCAGCTAGCGGGACCTGCTGGACAAAGAACTCGTCCTCGGATTCCTCCTCAAGCACTAGGCGGCGGCGATGAGATACATCCCTCTCGATGGGCTGAGCTGGATGTTCCCAAAGCTTGGGGGACGAGCGGGCCTTCCCATGCATCCCAATCAACTTCTTCTCGCGACGCTCCCCATGCAGCCCCTGGCGGGTCCGATGTTGAGGGAGCCGGTCCTGAGTCTCCATCGTGGATTCCCGAGAATGAGGCAACAAGAGGGCTTGCGCATCAGTCTTCTTCAGCGTGGTCCCCTTGCGTCCCTGTCTCCCAATAACAATCTTCGGCCCTTTAGAAACGGGGACCCAGAAGGAGTTCCGGCTCTATTGCACGAGGGGCTCCGTTTCCATGAATGGCCTGTCCGAAGTGCCCATCCATAGCGGTGAGGAGTCGCGGACAGGCTGTTTTGCCGATGGCACGTTCCCTCGAGCCTCCTCCGCACGATCACGATTAGATGAATACTCTGCCTCCTTATGACCCTGAGTCTCCTTGTTTATCCATACCGATCGCGGAGGATAATGAGGAGCCACTTCCTCGTCATCAAAGATCTTCCGCCCCATTTTCTTAGTAGTCATATGGGGTCCATACCGCTCTTTCCCAGAAGGTGGATCAAACAAACACGCCTGCCGAGAGTGGCCTACGCGGCCACAATGGTAGCAGAAGCTCGGCAGGTGTTCATATTTCAGCCGAATCCAAAAACACCCAGTCTCTTCATTAGAAGCCATAAGCTGGGATCGAAGGGGTTTGGAAAAGTCAATCAGGGCTTTCACCTTGATGAATTTCTGGTTCGTGTCACTACACGCAAAAAGACCAGCTTCAAGCACCTGCCCCATCGCTGCGGAAGCCATTTTCCTCACAAACTGATGAGTACAGCACTCATCTCGAACGTCCCACATCTGGATACGGAATGGGGCGATGGCTAACTCCTCAAAAGTACGCCGAGTAATCGATGGGGTCCACGACCGTAGGTGGAGGATCTTATCTCCAATAACCCACGGTGTTTGCTTTAGGATCCAAGCCTTAGATGTCTTATTTGGCAAGACAAACTCAAAGAGCCCATGAGCAACCAGTCTCACTCTGATGCGGCCCTGACCTTGCCACGGATTGTTCACTGTCCCTCGAAGCTCCCGCGGCGATACATTCTTCTCGGTGAAGAGGCGCCCCAGTAACGAGCAAGCCTGTCGTGCCTAGTCCGACTGGACCTCATCCAACAAGAACTCGACGATCTGGTCTTTGGAAATACGTGACATGGTGGAATGCTGCAAAGGCAGAGCCGAGAGAATCGGGAGAGAAACAAATAACTTGCAGTAGGGGGAATCGTCCCACCGAAGCATGCAAATTAAATCTGCACCGTGGTGCGTCCACTTACCAATGAGGATGGGGCGTTTGCGGGGGGCTATTCTCCGTCCAAAGTCTCCTCACCGCTCTCGAAAGAATTTTGGCTGTTTGGAGGAAGCATGACAGGGGTGGGACTTTAAATATAAGCCACCACTTGAACCCCCTAACGCAAAGCGCGTCTCCAGATTGGGCAGGATACAAATCGTAGATATCTTTTTCTGTTGTATTTTTATTATTTGCCGAGCATTTCGCCGGGCTGAATTACCCGTGGGATTTCTCTCAATCTTCAACCGGTTAGGGATATGGAGAGAGAATAAACCGTAGCAATGATGGAAGTCCGTGCTATCCGGGATTTTTTTTAATTTTTGTTGACCTGCCGAGACTCCCACCAACGTACGCAACAACGGTAGAAATAGGGGCCCCGACGACGAAGAACCGGCCACCGGCCGGCAAGGGACGTCTGCCATGGGTTGAAAAATCCCAGACGACTGCTGGAGAGAACTCTCCCCACCTCGGGATCTAAGTTTACTCTCGTCGGAACTGTCCCTAGAGATCACCTCTCTGCTCCAAGGACTATTACCCATAGTGGAAGCAATGGTATACTCCGGTGGGGCACATCCACCTGCGTTCTCCCTTGCTTCAAAATCAAACTCACAATTAACATGGTCCTCCGTAACTTCACTCGACGAAGGCAGCCGAAATTTCCAAACCGACACATTAGGAAGCCGCCGCCGTTTCGGGGAAGAGAATGCTGGCGCAGACTCGCTGCTTTTCAGGGGCAGGGAACGTTTTCTTCCTGCGACCAGCACTACTGTCGTTCGACCTGGGGGATGCTTAGGGATTCTTCGCTTCAACGATCCCGATGCACTCTGTAACCCCTCCACCGAAAGGTCATCATGCAATTTATCACAAGCACCATCCTTCTCCTGGTTAGCGGTAGCCACACTCAGCATCGCCGTCAGGCACGCCAGAAGAAATTGCCCCGAACGGAGGCAGAAAACGAGGAGAGAGGAGAGAGCTGCTCTCATAGTTTTTTTTTGGCGATTTGATTAATTATACAACAAACGACTTCACAACTCAAACCTGAGTTTGTTTCCTAATTATAAACTACTAATAATATACTGTTAGATTACTAAACTTCTCGTATAAGAGTATGTTATGCTTTTGATATTATGTGATTTATATGGTATAATATTTGCTATGTCTAATGAGCTTTACTATTTAATTTGAATTAATTAGAAATATTGGTTTATGATAATTAATATACCTTAAACCACAATCATTTTTAGTTATAGTCTTGGTTGTCCTTGCGCGCGGCTCAAGATATGGATCTGGACTCTTCAAATAGAAAATCGAGATCTAAGGACAGAGAATTAAAGTTCATTTTTATTTTCCCTAACTTTCTTAATCGGCTCATGTCTTCTTCGTTATAACTCGAATTTTTTTTTTTTTTTTTTTGCATAAATGGAACGAGTTCATTGTGCTCTACAAAATGAGATCGATTTTCAATATTTTTTGAGAAAAAAAAATTCTTGCCTCTCGGTACCAACTGCATACCATATGGTATCTTCTTCATTTTTAATTCGTTTTTTAAAACGTTTGCACAGAAGGAACGAGTTCATCATGATCTATTGGATCTACAAATTTCTGGGTGAACAAATTACATGACCAAAAAATACCACACAATACCACCCTGGTACGGGGTGGTATCTTGCGGTACACAATATTAAAAGTCGTAAATGACAGTTAATATACTTCTACTATCATGTATTCAACCATCTTACAGTCTTGGTTTGTTTATACCACCATGGTACGCTTTTCAAACCATAGGTATGCTCTTATTTCAATACTAGTCAATACCATATGGTATAGACTCGTAAAAAATGGCTCAATTTTTTTGTTCGAAAAATATATCAAAGTGGATATCATTTTTAAGAGCACAATTAATCTGATCTAACTATGCAAAAAAATTAAAATTTGACTTCAAACGAATGAGAAATCGTCCGTCAAATATTAAGGAGAAGAAAATTAAAGGCTTTCCAGAAGAAAGGGAGATGTTTATGTCATGCTGACGTGGATGGTTTTCTCATTGTTACTCACCATAAAGTTACTCAACCAATTTACACTCTTGCGAGCAATCATAAAACTTTGGCAATAGATTGATGCCTAATTCGCAAAAATATTAATTATTTCGAAATCATACATTTCCAAAACCACATGTTATTAGCATTGCTCTACAAACCACAGCATCTCTAGTTACATGAACATGACAAATGAATTTTGTGTTTATCAATTATTTGTCAAAAGCTTAACGGTGAAGAATGCTCATGCTAGCGCCAGCGACGAACAACTTACTCAAGGAAGCACTCACAACGCACGTGGTCCAATCCAAATACCTCCTCCCCTCGTACAGTTCGGGTCAAAGAAACGTTTCTCCGTTCCTTACCAAAAGACAAATTCCCGTTTCATCTCAAGGCAGGTTGGCTTACCTAATACCTACTACAGATTTCTTGACAAGTACACTTTCCCTTTTGTACATTGAGAAATCCACTAATTAGGTAATTATCAGAGTTTAATAGATTCTCTGCAAACTTTATGATTCAATTGGTCTAGTCGTGTTCTCATTTAATAAAAAAAATTTGTCATTAATGAGAGAATTTCATGATCTAAAATAAATTATATTTATATTTAGTTCCGTACAATTCAATGTGATTGAATTTGAAATAAATCAAATCGATACCAACTTAAAATTCTCGGATTTTGCTTATCCAAATTTGAAATTCCAGTCCAGCTGCTTGACAATTGTTTAGCTTACACCTTCTATAAATCTCTCAGATAAATGTATGCTAATTAATCATATTACGTTCTCTGAACTTAATCTTGAAATTATGTAACGTCCGTGAAATTATGCTAATCAATTTACAGGTGGCGTGGACTATGCTTACAAGTTACAAGTGGAGTGGGAGGCCAAAAGTCAAAGTCAAAGAATATTTTACGCAAGCAAGCAATACAAAGCCCAGCCCGGCCCAGAAAACCGCTCGATTTGCCTTGTAATTAACCATTTACTGACAACTACTTATTAGTAAATTAATGACAGTGATTGAACTTATAACCCCTATATGAGGGAAACTGTCTTTTAGGAAACAAAGGTACATTTGACTCATTCCTTTAATTTACTTCTAGGGCTTCTGCTCTATTAGCTAGATTGTGGTCATTACTTATAGGAATGCGTTAGAGTGGTTACGGTGGCTACCAAACACCATTGATTATATCTATTTCATCCTATTTTTAAGTTGACGATGAAGATTATATGAAGGATAATTTTGGAAACAGAAATAATACCACACCTGATTACTATTCTTTAAAAAGTTATTTTTATATATTATATCGCAAACCCTAATGCAACCGCCTCCTCCCTCTCCTCCCCTTCCGCCTGTCGACGACCCTTCTTCTCCAGACCAGAAAATGCAGCCGCCTCCTCTCTCTTCTCCCCTCCCGCCCGGCGGCAGCCATTCTTCTCGAGACCAAAATCTCTCGTCCGGCGTTAGTAGTCACGTCCTTCAGCAGCAGTCTGTTCTGAGATAGCGACTCCTTGATCCGCTGCAGCAGCGGTATGACGCCATCGCTAGCCAAAGCGAAAATCGACGGCACCATGCGTTGGAGGACGACAAAGAGAGTCAAGTCGTCGCCGCCGCGATGTGGACGGTGCGAGAACTGGCCTTGTCGGCCGTGTCGGTGACGTTGCCCATGGTTTGTGTGATTACTTATGTTCTGAATGTTTTTTTTATAGATTAGTGATAGTCATTACTTCATTCGAACAAGTCATTATCATTAGGTATTTCGCATGTTCATCTTTCTTTTTTTTTATTGAATCTTGTTCATCTTCTCTAACTAATTAAACGTATTTTTATTGAAACTGACATTCCTGTTGGGCCGCATAGTTGAGCATACATAGGCCTCGGGCCCAAGAGAGGCGAATCGGACTTTAAGGCCCAATAAGGAGGCCGGGCGCGATCGGAATACTGGTTCAGCGGGCGGTCCATGATCAACTGCGAACCCGAGGAATAGATAAGGGCGCCTGACATAAAGCAACTGAGCAGCGCAGAAGGGCAGGGAGCCGTTGAAGATGCGTATCTGGTGTCAGGCAAGACTGAACATTTATTGCCAGCCACAGGCGGCCTGCAAAAAGGCTGAAAGCCTGCCCAGGACGCCTGACATTACGCAAAAAGCCTACACAGGGCGCCCGACCAGGTCTGGGGCGCCCGACACAGCATTTAATGCCCCAACCACCCTTTAACCAGGTATAAATAGAGGGTGAGTGCATTAATGGTAAGGCCAACTACTATTCATCTCTCTACATAAATTCTTATCTCTCCACTTCTCTCTCTAACTTAAGCTTCGGAGGGTGTCCCGGGCCAACCGCCACGGACCGTTGTTTTGCAGAGTATCAGGAGTCCTTCTCGACATCCAAGAACAGGCGCCTCGCCCCAGCTCCAAAAACCGCCTAGTATCTACTAGGCACAAACAATTTGGCGCCCACCGTGGGGCCGGAGCGGAGCGCTTGAATCGAAAGATGGAGGGAAACTTCAGAACTCCTGTGAAGGACGTTATCGGCGGGGAAAGCATCAGAGGTTTGGAAATGCCGACGGTTGAGGAAGAAAAGGATATGGAAGAGCGTGTGAGAGACAAGGGGCAGCAGATCACCAGTATGCAAGAGAGTCTGAGCCAGATCCTCACCATGCTCAAAACAAGGGATGAGCCCGAAAGTTCTAAGATGTGAGGTAGCAAGGGCAAGGGGGTGGACGGAGAGATGCCTCCCAGTCCCCCTCGCACAAAAGACGGAGAGTCCGACAGAGAGGAAGACGCTGACGGCGTCCACCTTGACCTCCTCGAAGAACACCTGCGCCCCTGCTACTGGAAGCCTAAGGGCTACAACGTGCTCCACAACCCCTTGGCGAAGAGCCTCTTCAAAACCCAGGTGCCATCAAACTTCTCGTCTCTCGATCTCCCTGCCTACACGGGAAACTCAGATCCGTCGGATCACTTGAGCGCCTTCATGCTCAAGATGCAGCTGATTAACGCCTCAGACGCCGATCTGTGCAAGGCGTTTCCAGTCACCTTCGGGGGGCAGTGCCGAAGTTGGTACGCGTCCCTACCAGCCAGGATAATCCAGAACTTCGAACAGTTCGCCACCCTTTTCCCTTTGAAGTTCGCTTCTCAGCGCAGGAGGCAGCTCACGGTCTCCGCCCTCATCAACTGCAAGCAAGGGGAAGAGGAAACCTTGGCCGACTTCTACGACCGATGGAATACAATAGCTTGCGAGGTCCAAGACGTCTCAACCAGCGTGGCCGCTGGGAACCTGAGAATGTCGACGCACAGCCGGCAACTAAAGAGGTCTCTCATCAAAAAGGAGCACAACATCAAGTGTTGGCAAGATCTAGACCGCGTGGTACGAAAGGCCATTTTCTTGGAAGAAGCGCTCAACGCCGAAGAAGGCGCAAAGGGGGCCCCAACGTCATCAAGCAAAGCAGAAAAAGGAAGGAACGGGTCGCCAAAGCTAAGGGGGCGCACGCCCGAGCGGCGCAACTACAAGCCCAAGTTCAGCAACAGGGATGGAAGGCGTGAAGTGTTCGCGTCAGAAAAAGAGGACGACGGACGCCGCGATGGAAGCAAAACTCGGGAAGCGTGTCCCCGCCAAAGGAGGGACGACGATCAAAAGTGGTGCGACTGGCATCAGCTACCGACTCATGACACCACAGAGTGCCGTGAGTTCAAAGCCAGCCTCAAGTACCTGGCACCGGGGGACCTGAAAAGCCGCCTGGACACACGGGCGCACCCCAGGGATAGAACGGAGGAAAGGGACAGGTCGCCCAGCCCAAGGAGAAGGTCCCGCACGCCTAGACGTCGGAGATCTCGGTCGCCGAGAAGAGAGCGAACACCACGCAGGGAGCGCTTGCCTCCGCCGCCGCCAAGGCACGCCCCTCCTCATCGACACCCGCCTAGAGAAGAGGAAGAGGGAGTTGAAATAATCACCATCGCGGGAGGACACAAGAGTCCCCGGATAGAGGGGGACCGCCTGGTGCAATGCATGAACGTGCACAGGAAAGAACAAGTCGAGATCAGTTTCGCACCCTCGGAACTGGCTCCCGAAGAGTGTGGAGAAGACCCGCTGGTCATCTCTTTCCGCACGAAGAAGTTTAAGGTCACTCGGGCCTTAGTTGACAACGGAAGCTCAGCAGACATCATGTTCTACTCCACGCTTAAGAGCATGAAGAAGGGACTACAGGACCTCAAGCCATCCACGACCAGCCTGGTAGGATTCTCCGGGTCCAAAGTCAGGGTCTTGGGTTCTATCACTCTCTAGGTGACGATCGGGGGCCCAGAAGTGACGAAGACACGCCTCATGGACTTCCACGTAGCGGACTGCTCCTCCGCCTACAACGCCATATTGGGGCGCGGCTTCCTGTCAGCCTTCTCGGCGGTCCCTTCTACCTGCCATCAGATGCTTAAGTTTCCCGCCAAGAGCAGAATAGGACGTGTCCTTGGTGACTCCCAGCAGGCCAAATAATGCTACCAAGCCACCATCAGAAACTTGGAGGTCGACCAATTGGACACAAGAGGAAGTCATCCACGCCCCGAAGCGGCCGAGGAAGACGTCGCGGTCGTTTTGGACGACGACGAGCCAGAGAAGAAGGTTAGGATCGTAGCTCACTTGGCGGAAGAGCAGGCGCGAGAGCTCTTGTCCCTCCTAAAGGAATTCAAAGATCTATTCGCGTGGACGTCGGAGGACATGCCAGGCGTCCCACGGGAGCTGGCCGAACACTCCCTGTCAATCAAAAGCAAGGCACGGCCAGTACAGCAAAGGAGGAGGAACGCCTCCCTTGAAAAGCAGATGGCATTAAAAGAGGAGGTGAAGCGATTGCTGAAGGCAGGGTTCATCAGAGAAGTAAAATACCCAACGTGGCTGGCCAACCCTGTCTTCGTTGCGAAAGGCGTCCGGTCTTTGGCGAATGTGCATCGATTTCACTAGCCTCAACGCGGCCTGTCCTAAGGACGCATATCCCCTCCCCAGAATCGACCAGCTGATCGATGCGACTGCAAATCATGAGACGCTAAGTTTCCTGGACATGTTCTCAGGCTACCACCAGATACGCTTGTCGGAAGCCTACGTTGATGACGTCCTAGTCAAAAGCAAGAGAGGGGCCGATCACTTGGCCGATCTAAGGGAAACATTCGAAACGCTTCGAAGAGAGCGCCTCAGGCTGAACCCACTGAAATGTGTGTTCGGAGCAAAAGCGGGAAAGTTTTTAGGATTTATGATCACTAACAGGGGCATAGAGGCAAACCCAAAGCAGATTGAAGCAATACTCAGCCTGAAACCGCCCCGCACAGTGAAAGAAATCCAGGCGTTCAATGGAAAGATGGCCGCCTTGAGCCGCTTCATCCCGCGGTCGGCAGACAAATGCTCACCTTTTTTCCAAATGCTAAAGAAATCCGCGTCTTGCCTACAATGGGGACCTGAGTGCGACAAAGCTTTCTTCCAGCTAACGGATCAGCTGGCTTCTCCTCCCGTCCTTAGCGCCCCCCTCCAGGCTGAGCCCCTATATCTGTACCTGGCGGTTTCTGATCAAGCGGTCAGCTCATCCCTGGTAAGAAGAGACGCCGATGGCACAGACCATCCCGTATACTACGTCAGCAAAGCCCTCCTTCCTGCTGAAAGGCGGTATATGCCGATTGAAAGGGCGGTCCTAGCGGTCATCTCCGTGGCGAGAAAACTACTCCCTTACTTCCAGGGGCATCCAATCACCGTCCTGTCCAACCTACCCTTGAAAAAGATACTCAGAAGTTTGGACGCCTCGGGAAGGATAACTAAGTGGGCGGTCGAGCTCAGCGAGTACGACATCACGTACGCGCTGCGTCATTCCATAAAAGGGCAGGTGCTAGCGGATTTCGTGGCAGAAGGTTTTAGCCTCAACACCACCGAGGTAGAAGGAGAAGTTGAAGTGTGGCGCCTGTTCGTGGATGGAGCTGCCGGAAAAGGTGGAGCAGGTGCTGGAATTGTGCTCGAATCGCCAAGAGGAGTCATACACGAGTTCTCCCACAGATTTCACGAGCTGAAGACCAACAACGTAGCAGAGTACGAGGCCCTCTTGAGCGGTCTCAGAATCGCCATGGGAATGGGCGCCACGCGCCTCCACATCTGCTCCGACTCCCTATTGGTGGTCAACCAAGTTTTAGAAAACTACGAAGCTAAGGAAGAGGCGCTTGCAAAGTTAGCCGACGAAGTCAGGGGCGTCCTCTCACAGTTGGAAGAATGAAAGCTAGAGCATGTCAAGCGAGAGGACAACCATCACGCGGATGCCTTGTCCAAGCTGGCCACGGCTATGGACTTCGAAGGCGATCGTCAAGTCACCATTACCAAAGAGGCCCCGCCCAACGAGGGGGTCATGGCCATCGAAGAGGGAGCGGCCGACTGGCGCTCTCCTATCATCGAGTATTTGCAGACGGATGCTCTGCCAAGCGATGAAGCCCAAGCAAAGCTGATCAAACGGAAGGCCGCCCATTACAGCATGGTGGGAGGGCAGTTGCACAAGAGGTCTTTCTCAGGCGTCTACCTGAAGTGCTTAAGCCCCGCAGAGGCGGAATGGATTATCAAGGAGATACATCAGGGCACATGCGCTTCTCATGCAGGCCCGAGGGGCCTCGAAAAGACAATCATGTTACAAGGCTACTACTGGCCAACGGTGAAAAAGGATACTGA